CAGCACCTCTCAACAGTACACAAAATTTAAGAAAAACAAGTGAGCAGCCTCCCAATGGGGGACCGCAGGCCACGGTCCTGCAAACAGGGAAAGTCAGACAGACAGGCGGAGAGAAAGAGGGAGATGGATGCCGTCAAGAGGCACTCACAATCAACATGGCCTGTGAGCATGCGGCCACTCCACGCAGGAACACAGCAGGAGAGGATGACAAGGGAAATAAGCAAGAAGCAGCACAACACACACGGAAGAAACAAATTGCGGGCGGGAAAAGCATCACCAAGGCCCTCAACCTGGCCGGCAACTCCACACCAGACCTCACACACACACACACCATCGCAGTGCTGTCAGTCCGCGGGTGAGAGGATTCGGCCCTCCACACAACAAACGCGCACACCGCCGGCAGTCACCCACCAATGGACAAGAAAAAAAAGAGACACACCGCCTCCAGTTCAATCCCACGGCCAACGGAATACGGCCACAGCCCGTAGCCAACACACAACGCACACGGAGCTAGCAATCACCCAAAGAGCCACACGCGGAAGCGGATACTCATCCAGCCATGACGCGGCGACAACATTTCCAGTCATTCCACCCACAATGGAATTTGATGCCCAACTCAAAGCGGTCACAGGCGGTGCATCACGCCAACAGCAAAATTGACTCGCCGTGCACTCCCTCTCTCCTCCTTCCCTTCATGCCCACTAAAGGAAGCAGCATCCACCCGCAACCGCCAGCACACGCTACAAAAGAAGCATCAAAATCCACTGCAATGTGCATCTTGTGTGTGTGCCTGCAGACAAACGAGGCAAAGAAGTAAAAACAGGAGCAGAGCATGTAAAGGGACGCACAAACTAAAATGTACAGCAGAAGTGCATGGCAGAAATAAAGAGAAAAAGACTGCTCAAGCTCATGATACTGCACGGCAGCCAAAGCAGCGGCAATTCATTAAAAATTTATTAAAATTAAAAAAATATTCATCTTCACCTTTCCACAACTCACACCTTGAAAAAGAAGAAAAAAAAGAAGAAAAAAAAGAAGAAAAAAAAAAGAAAAAGAAGAAATGTCGTCCTCTATTACGGTTACACACAAAAATGAAAAAAGAAAAAAAAGGAAAAAAAAGAACCACACACAAAAAAGCACCTAACTACCATGTTGCTCCAGAAATTGTCCGCATATTTTGTCCAAAAATAAAATTAAAAGGTATTTAAATGTCTTTCAACCGTCTGACCCTCCGTGTGTCCGCACATCGTTTATATTTCATGGGTCATCTGCGTGTTGCCGCTCCCCTCAGCCCTCTCATCGGCGCGTGAATGCGGCCCGCAGAGCACAGTCACTCGTGTGTGTGGGGACTGAGAGAAGCACGCAGACATGACGGGAGTCGCGTCTCTCCATCGGGAGAGTGAGCGGAGAAAAAAAAAAAATCATCGGAGGGGAGAGAAATGCTCACGAGACCAACCCCGAGGGGTGTGCCAGCGCGAGAAATAAACACGCAAAGCAAAAATAAAAAAAACACGGCGGCAGGGTGTGGCTGTGTGTGTGGCGCTGCGGGTGTCTGCCCGCCCTGGCCGCAACGAAAACAAAACAAGAGGGAAGAAATGTGTGCTCCGCCCCACAGACCCTCGTCGCACGCCCACACGTCACGGCTCCCTCAGCGCGCCGTTCGTCGCGGCCCCTCCTCATGCGTGCAGCAGGCGAGGCGCACAGGGCCGTCGTCATGAGCGTGTCGGTGGGTGTGCGAGTGGAGCAGTTGGGCGGGAAACACACGGCACCCTCACAGGAAGAGTGCAGCAAGAAACAATTAAAAGAGGGAAGAGTAGAAAAGAAAAAGAGGTCCATAGTGATTGCCCCAAAAGCAAAAAATAGAAGGGATGGGAGATGAAAAATAAAAACTAAAAATTAAACAAATTAAACAAATTAAACCATTAAAAATGAAAAAAAAAAAAAAAACGTTCATATTGGTTGCCCCAAGGCAACAAGCAAAAAAGGGGGAGAGAAAAAAAGAAGAATTGCGGAGAGTAATTCATTACCGGATGTGCGTCGGTGTGGGGAAGGGCGCAAGTGTCCCACACTGAGGCCGCACACTCCTCACGCAGCCGCAAGGCCCCACAGTCCCAGCAGAAGAAGCAGCGGCAGCAGTCCGCTCTCACGCATAGTACCAGCAACGCTGTTATCCCACTGCGACGAATTTAAAAGGCTGCTGCTGAGTGTCGCCGCCTCTGCTTCTTTGACCTGTGGATGGAGCCCATCTTTGCCCTTGCCTTCAGCGTTATGTGCTGCTGCATTTGTTGCGTCGGGGTTGCCCACAGAGAATTGGGTTGGTTGATCTGCCTGCATCATATCTCCACCTTCCGTCCCCACCGTTTTTGCATCATCAGATGAGGAAGCACCAACATCAGTAATGGCGGCGCTTGAAGATGTGGCAGATGCCGGCTGGTCTGCAGTTCCCTCCCTAGCTGAGGACGTCGCGGCATTGGGCTCCGCTGGTTTGGGCTCTTCTGATTCCGACACCGCTGGTTTCGGCTCTTCTGATTCCGACACCGCTGGCGTGGATGGAGCGCCACCGCTTGCACCACTGCTCCCGTTCGAGGTTACTCGTGTCGTCGGCTGTGGTCCGGCAGCAACAGGCGATGGCACAGTTGGCTGCGTATTTGTGGCAACCGTATCGCTGGCAGATTCAACGGACGAAGAGGTAGCTGCCGCCGCCGGCACCGGCTTCCTTTCCGGAGGTGGAATGGTGACTTTACTCGCGTTGAGGGCACCAATCTCAGTTTCATTCAACGGGCGGTTGTACAGAAAGACGTTCGCCACCGTCGCATGGATTTTTCTGCTGCTCAACTGCTCATCGTACGCGCCAAAGTAAAAGTGTGAGATCTCGTCCAGCTCTTCATTGAACGAATTTCTCAGCCTCAAATTCCAAAGGAGAGTCCCGTCAACGTACACGGAGCCCACACCGTCATGCATTTTGAGCACCACGTGATACGTCTTGTCCAGCTCCCATTTGGTTAAATACCTTAGGTACGACCCGTGCACCACGCTCCACTCCATATTATTATCGTACGACAGTCCCAGGAGTGTTGTCTTCCCCATTTTCTCCAGGCCCATCAGGGGAGTGATGCCCGTCGGCACCTCGTGGATCGACACCGTTGCCGCAAGAGTGAACCCATAGTTTGCAAAGTGGAGCGGTCTGGTCGGCCACTGCTTGCCCACAGGCCACTCGGCCCCTGCGTCATGCCCTTCGAACGTCAACCCACTGGGAGCCTTTTTCGCCGCACCCCTCACAACGGCATTCACCCCAAGGTACTCGTCCTCCCACTTGTGCCCGCTGAACCTATCGGCCAAATGGCCCACAAGCCCAGCCGTGGGGAAAGGAACAGAACAGTCCCCTCTTGACAGCGCAGCGCCTGTGCTGCATCGTCTCGACAAGGCAATGTCATTCGCGGCCCAAGTATCCAGCGCACGCCTTATCTTCTGCAGCTCGGACGTCAGATCCAGGAAGAAGGCTCCAGAGTCGCTTCCAAAACCTGTCTTGTACAAACAATACAGCTTATCATCCGCGTACAACAGGGAGCTGGAGGTCGCGCCATACCCAGTGGGTAGCAGGCCAACGTGGTAAATGCGGTTCGTGTCCGTTAGCCACAGGTGAATCTCGCTCTTTTGATTGTCCCCGGAATATTCCAGCTGGGTGAGGAGGATCACCTTCTTTCCGCCAATGGTTGCAGTGATAAATCCACTCTGAATGTGGAGCCCAAGACCTGCCAATGAGTTGCTCCACACGCGCGAGAGCGTCCCCAGAGCCTCCTTCCACGTGTTCCCCTTGTCAGTCGACTCGTACACCCTTCTGCGGCCGTACTCACATGAGGTGATCATGATGATTTTACCAGCCTCCCACTCAAGGATACTGGGGTTGGTGCAGCCCGCATGTGTCGCGCTTTTCGCAAAGGTCCAGCGCTGTTGAGTGAAATTCCAGTAAATGATTGTGGACGCGGTTTTCCCTCCAAATTCCAGAAACTGCACGGGAAACACGAGCGTGTTATCCGTCATTTTCGTGATGGGAGTACTGGCATCGTTGAGGAAGCCAATCATGTCACCGGGTTGATAGGGATAAGGAAGGTGAAAGCTCATAGAGACGGAATTCATCGACAAACCTCCGCTTTGTCCAGGCCCCGTCTCCATAAAATGTATAACAGACTCCACACCACTTCCTCCCCACCAATTGGCATAATGAGGTCTGACTCCCTTCCGTAAGTCGTAGCCCTCCACAAAAGCAAAAAGCGGTCCGAAGAGTCTGAAAGGCGTGGTAAACAACATCTGGTGAAGGCGTGCAGCAAAAGCGTCAAGATCTTCGGGTCTCGGGTACGAACTCCAATTCACCCCACGATTCATGCTGAGCTGCGCCGTTAACTGCATGGACGCACTTCCGCTCCCCACAGTTCTATTGAACTGAGCTCCAGCAATGGCCAGCAGCATCCCGTCCACATTCACAAGATGGGGATTGCGGAAAATGTGGCCAGGGACCGGTGGGTTTGCGGCCTGATGCCCCCTTTGCAACTGCCCCGAACCTTGTCCTCCATAGGGATTTCCCACTCCCGTTCCAAAGCTTTGGGCCCGCACTGACCCCGCGGCGCAGCACATCATCACGACGAGGAGGAGTAGAGACACCGCAAAAGTAAACACACGCCGGGACATGCTGGGCCTCTGCGGCTCACTCTCTCTTCCTTCCCTTCTCATTCCGCTGGATCTGGTCACGCAGCGACGGTTGTGTGTGCGGGGTGCCTTGACAGCAGCAACACGTGAGAGCATACAAATATGTGTGTGGGCGGTGTGTGTGTGCTGTTTTTGGTCCTTTCAAAGCCTTAGAATTCCACAGTAGCGATTCACGCTTGTAGTAACTTCCTTCCTAGCTTGTATCTTTGTGTATGTGTGTGTGCGTGTGTGTGTGTGCGAGGAATTAAATTAAAAAACAAGCGCCCAAACAGGATGTGGGAGAAGAGTGGTTGGCGTCACGCATCCACAGTACAACACATCAGTGTCTTCGTAACCACTGCAGTCATTATTCTCACCTTCCAAGACGACTCAAGCACTGTGAGACCGCACACAGAAGCAGAAACGCTTAATTTCACGGACGGGGCAAGACGCTCTCCGGAAAATGGCACCAACCAACAGAAAGTAGGAGCGAACGGAATCCCAAGTGCTGCAAAAAAAGAAAACAACAACAACTTCATTCTCCACGGCCGTGTACAGAAGGCGACAACGCGAGATATAAACATGGAGATGCATACACGTCTCTGATATTCGTAAATATGACGACCTGAGGTTCCAAGTGCTTCTGGCGGAGTCTTGCCCACTTTTGCCCTGCCGCACAACAACGAAGCCTCACCATCCCGCAAAGCAAAGTCAGGCTGTGCAATAGCAACAGCCGCAGGCGTGGCAGAGACAACAGCCGCGGCTACTGAAAAGTGAGTGGATGGATCCGCCGTTGCATTCACTGTTCCAGACACCGACAGGAGACAAAGAAGAACTCGCATCATCAGTCCGTGCCTTCTGCTTCCGTTGCCCACGCAAAGCAAGTGGTACACAAGAGTCATGCGAACAAAAACAACAACTACACATACAACACCAGCGAACTTGTCAGAAAATCGCACCTTTTTTACTTTTTCTACATGTTGCCTGGATGCTCTTCCTGTCAGACTTCTAGCGTCCGTCAGGTTCCCCATCTGTTGTTTCATTTGGCAAGCCCGTTTCTCATACTTCGTGTTCGCAGTGAAAAATCAGACAGTCATGTGATCAACAGTCACTCCGTTCCTGTTGATGCCACTCGCTGATGCTCATGGCAACAGACACTTCTCCTGGGCTCATCATGCCTCTCTCAAGTCAGGAGGTCATTGGCAACACGGGAAAGCATGCGCCTCGCCACCCCCCCCATCCCCCTCAAGCACAAATGCCGGTGGCCGCGCCGAGAAATCCGTGTTGACCCGGTCGTTTTGCTCTCTCCGTTACTTGCAATGTGCTTATTCATGATTAACGGACTGTCCACGCCGGGTTTGCGCCAGCAGGGTAGGGTCAGAAGGAGTCTCATGCACCGAGTCCCTAGCCATGATGCCTGTCAACCATCACCAAAATTTTAAAAAAAGTGAAGAAACTATGGTTTTTTGGGCCTTTCCAACGCCCTTGGGACCCCCAGTCATGTTGATTGCTGCAGGAATATACGAAAAGGAATCCCCAGAAAAGAAAAGTCCGCGACTACAGGTGCCGTCCCTCCTCATATTTCACAAATAATGGGTGCAAACAACATTGATCCAACCCACGCCCTGCACGTGCATTGTGCACTTCAGCACAGCAGTCAATGTTCCCAAGCAAAAGCCCCAATCTAGAAATGAATTCCGCACGACACACCAGAAAGAAAGCCGCTATCCGTGAAAGCTTCCAGCGTGGCCAATTCCATCTCTTCCCAACGCCAATGGATGGAATAAATTGCTGTTGGCCAAGGCACAGCGGAGTAACAGTGCGGCAACAAGGAACAGCAACAGCGACAGGGAACCCCCACCGGGGCAGTGGAGAATGAAGCAGAAACGACATCCTCTCTTTCCCCCTTGTCCCACATCGCAGCACCGCATTTCCTTCACCAGACTCACAGGGCATCGATACCATCATTAGTATGCCATTCATAATCTGGGTGTGTGTGGCTAAAATCATCGTCCTGCATCAGCGTCAGGTGAAGACCGCAATAGCGAAATTCCTCCTCATGTGGGTGCCACGGGGCATCGATACAGCATTGGTTAACTGCTGGTATTGGCAGTAGTGGCGTTAGTCAGTCTGTGTGTGAGGAGGAAAGGGGAAAGGAGTGCACCCAGAACGGGAAAAGAAGCTCTCGCCATTGGTGATACACGCATGCTCGCCCTATTTCCATTTTTTCTACCGAATTAAAACCAAGCAACAGCGGGTCGGATTCCTCTTGCACCCACCCTCCTCTCTCCCTCCTTCACTCCCACTACCGGAAAGAAATGCAGATACGCACACACCTTAGGCCAAGGTTTGCTCTTACTCTCTCGGGGAATGGCTAAAACTGTCAGTGTCTCTTACTCACTGCCCACTTCAAATGGAATGGTGAATGTTACGTGAACCCGACGCGTCCACAGCAGCGCCATGAACCAGGAAGAGGACTTGTCCGATCACCCAACAAGATCCATCACAATTGCGGCTTCATTGGCGCCACGGTTGGCAGTGCGAGAAAGGGAAGGGTCACAAAGCTGGCGAAGAAACCTGAAATAGAAATACAGCGCACTCACTCCCTGTCCAACTTTTTAGTAAAAAAGAACAGCAACAAAAGAAAGAAAAAAAGACAGGGATGTGTCCGGGGCAATAGAGAAGGCGTGGGGGGGAAGGTAGACAACTCAGTATGTGTATCCTTTGCCGTCAAACATATTTTTTTTTGTTCTTTGCTCTTTCCTTTCGCCTCGTTCCAAACCAATTCAGGCCCTATATGCAACAAAAATCCACGTTCACCTCCTGTCAGCTGTGAATGCAGCCCCAAAGAGCACTAGAAAGCAGCTTCAATGTTTGTTCTATCAACTCCGCTTCTTCTTCATCCAGCAGCTCATCGAGCGTACCTCCTTCACTCGTCCCACGGTAGAGTGCCGCGCTCTCGATGCAACCAGACGAGCCACTGGAAAATTCCACAACGGTGAAACACCTCCGATTCGTCTGACAGCTTGCTAACGTCAACGCAATGGTACTATTATTATTACTGCTGTATTTACAGTGATTCCCAGTAAACTTTTCCCCAGACCCTTCCAGAAAGAGGTGAAGGGAAAAGTTGGGTTCACAAGCTGCTAAAAGAGCACCGTGATGACTCGCCAGTATCAACTTCCAGTCTAAAAAAATCTCTAGAAATGGCTTAGAAACGTTACGAAGGCGGTGTTTCCTCCAATGGGCTTGCAAAGTCTGCAGATCCTCTCTGGACGGTCCCTGTTCGGCGCTATCGGTGCTGTCATTATCATTATTGTTGGCTTCATTTTTCTCACCCCGAGATGCGCGTATTTTCCCCCATGCAAAATCCAGCCGCTGCTGGAGCATGCCGTCCAGAAGCAGTTGGAGCAGCTGGCGTTTGGCCGAGAGGGCCAGCTTGGGAAGATCACTGTTGGGGCAGCGATCGCATGTGGTGACGTCCCGGACAGTAGAAAGCAACACGAACAGGCGAGACGTTGCCCAGACCATCACCCCACAGTAGCGGTATCTTTCCTGTGTGGATTCCCTCAGAAGCAGCTCGCCCTGTCTGGGAATCAATTGTCTCATACCGTTGCTGTCCGGGCCTTCGGATGAGTTTTTTGCCGTCATTTTCCGCGCCCGGCGCACGCATGATTCCTCCACATCAAACACACAGACAAAGTTGAGACTTTCACATGGCGGATTTGGATAATGTTGCACAAGAGTCTCAAGGGCATCGGATGTCAAAAGTTGACCAAATAGGAGCGACGCATACATCTGCACGTAACGTAGCATGCGGTTCACTGTCAGATCATAAAGAACACTACTAAAAATAAGGTCACGTTTAAGCTTTGCGGCGGCGAGGGCGGCCATACTAGCAGAGAGAGATCCACCACTGGCCATGAATACGTCAATGGCAAAATGAGCGACTTGGAACCCTACTTGCACAACAAACAATCCTCCCCTTCTAAGTGTGGCGGTTGCCGCAAGCTCGTAATCGTTCCGTTGCACGCGCTCAGCGTCTCCAATAGGAATCAGCACATAGTACAAATGAGGAACAAAACGTATCTCACTCCCGTCTGGAGAAATAAATTTACCGTAACGGCAACGAAAACGGTGCAGGAGTGTCGCATCGGATGATACGATGGCGTTGTTGGCGTCCAGATCAATGACGCGTGCCCTCGGAAATACGCGTAGAAGATACTGCACGTACGACTCCAGAGTTGCATCCACAGACAAACGGTATTCAGAGCCAAGCCTGCCTCTCGGTGGCAAAGATGGGTCAAGAATGTCGTCGGAGAGGCACCACGGCAGACGGCGAGGGAGGGTAAAGTCTCGCACACGGGACCCAAATATTTGCCTGCTTCGTCCCTGGAGAAGTACAACCAATTTGGCCAGGGATATCTCGCTCTCTGGCGAAAAAACATTCAAAAGCGACTCACAGTCATAAAGTGACTCGGCAATGCCCCAACGCGCGTGCTGCGACTCCACGAGAATGTGGGCAGTCTGTATGTGTCTATGAAAGTCACAGCCGATGAGCGCATCATCGGGAATACGGTTTGAGTGCACCAAACGACGGTTATTTGCTCCAGGTGCCATCACAAGCAGGCCGTCCCTCATCAACCCCTGCAGGATTCGCTTACACTCATTCAAGGAATACTGGGGGCATTCGTTGTACAGCACGCGGATTGCATCATCTTCCACAAAGACTCCATTCACTAAAAGGCCCCGGTTAAACAGTCCCTCCACAATAACCGTCAGGGGATCGCCACCCACCGCGTGCTGAGATGGAAAACGCACATGATTAATACGTCTTCGGTAAGTTTCATCGTGAATGCACAACCGTTTTCCTTCCGTCACATTGTTGTCATCACCGCAGCAAGAACGCGCCAGTGCCGGCTCCGTTAGGTATGATGGGAGAGAAAGTCCCATTCTCTGAGCCATAATGTCATGAAGAAGGTCAGACTGCTGCTCTGCCATGGCGATAACGTGCCCCATCAGGCGCAACAGAATATCAGAGTCCCGCAGATTGAAAAGGGCGGCTGTCACCCCGCCACTGAGAGAAATGCGCGCCACCACGCGAGGCTTCGCTGGCATTCCCGCCTCCATATTGTGTTCCCTCAGTAACGGACTCTGCGTCAGCACTGTCGCCCTGCTGACGGGGAGGTCTGGATGTGTCTCCTGCACGGCACGAGTTGCTGCTACCGCCAGCTCCTCCCCTGTTTGCTCACCACCCATCCTGACACGGTAGCCGCAAGTGAGGTAAACTTCAGTTTGCTCCGCCTGCAAGTCCCTCTGCATCTGCTCAATCCACCGCCATGGAAAACCGGCAATGTGCAACGGCGGAGCATTTGGCCGTTTCAGCAAACAAATTGGAGAAAAGGGCTCAAACACACCCGCAAGACGCTCAACAAGAAAGGGAAACACAGCGTGACTGACAAGACTCAAAGAAAAGTTTCTAAAAAGAAGCGTGGATGACTCTGTCGACGCCACACCCGCACCACATGCCATCAACGCCTCCACGGCAAAAACAAACTGGCAAGAAGGCCTGACATAAAAACGCTTCGAGAGAGCAGAAACGCCACTGCAGCGCCGCATCTCTCACAACGTCGTCAATCGGCCTGAGGCCTGTCGTCTCGAATACCCCAGGCGTACACCATTCTTCCGGCATTTTTGTTAGAAAGCGGTCGACCACAAGCTGCGATCCGTCGGTCACACGAAGATTGCAAGAGACAAGCATGTCTGTCGCACCTTCCATCACCTTCACAAAGCGTATAATTGTCGTTGGCAGGAGTGGTGTTATTTCTGTTCCATGCATCTCCATCTCCCGGGGAGAAGAGACACGCGGACTGCTGTCACCGGTTCCTCCCCCGTCCCCTCCCTCTTCCTCCAGAAGCCCATAATATTCCGCAAAGTTGCTCATGGCAGTGTCTCCACCATCCTGAACGTGAAACGACTTGAACTTGTTCTCCTTGAGATACAAAGCGACCAAGGCAAAAGCGAGCCGGACATCCAACGACTG